TATATAATGATGAAACTCACAACTCTGTTGAAGAACTGAGGAGTCTCAGAATTTCCCAGAGATTTATGTACAGGCAAAGCCTTTTCTCTGAGCTCCCACACCTGAATACAACTCATTTTAGGGCTACTGGCTGTAACAACCAGCGAATCGGCATCCTCCCTCATTATCCACTTGATGTGACTAACTGAGCTTCGCTTCTCTTTGACAAGTTGATCCACTGCAAATCACATTTGAAATAGTTTTTTACCTAAGTTGAATATTTTACCCAAAGAAAAAAATCAGAACTTAACGGTATTTTTTGAAAACTTACTCAGCGTTTCCTTGGGAGCTTCAATTAGGAAAAAACTAAGAAGAGACTGACTCTTAATTGTGCACTTCTCGTCTTCTTTCTTAACGGAAACTGTGTAACACTGAATAGGCATTGACGGGTCCCCGCTGCTTACGGCCAATAGGAAGTGACCATCTACAAAAACATGGGTAATAACAAATTGAAGCTTTTTCTTTACAGAAAAGATTGAGAACAGTAGACTTCATTCTCTCGTGACTGTTCAAAAAATAATGTGAATATTAAAATTTTGCGGACTACGTGCATTCGATTAGATTTATTTTTATTATTTTTATGTTGGTACACTCGTCTTGAACATATGCTCAGTTTCATCTGTTTGGTATGTTTAATTTGTTGGTGAGAGGCATAAAAGTCAGAAGTGTTTTGCGTGTTCGGCGATGTTGTGCTATCGAAAAAAATTGGATCAAAGAATTTGCATCAAATTCTGTGTAAAAAATGGAATTGAGTGCTCAAAAACACTTCAAATGTTGACAGTGGCATACGGTGATTGTACTCTGATTCAGAAAAATGGATAAGCCCCACTGTTCAAGACCATAGGAAATTACTGACTGAATTAAACTGTGCTATGAAAGCTTGAGAACATCAAGAGAGACTGTTCGTTTCAACCGACGAAGTAAATATATATGTTTACTGAGCTTCAGTTTGACACTATCAACATGGAACTTCCAGGAAAGTTTATTATCAATATAAACACCTAAGAATTTAGTACAATTAACTGGATGTGAAGTTTCATTATTTAATCTAACCAAATAGCTTTAATCAATT